GACAAACCACCCCCATGGGAAATTCAGCCAATCATTTTGTCCATTAATTAGACAGATTTCTCACCGTCATCCGGACTTCTTGTTCTCCTTTATTTGATGAGAAGGTAACAGCGTTGCAAATTGGGTAGCCAAACAATCACTTAAAGGGAAATGCCCCTTCTTTTGGGCACATAGACCTCTTAATGTATTGCTCTCATTACTTGTAGAGGATGGTCTTTGTAAATAATGTATATTACTCTGAACTACTATATATAAATCTCCATTTCCTCCAAAAAAAAAAAAAACTCTATAAATACCCATTCAAAAATCAGATTTAGGATTTTTGGAGGAGACCAAGAGAGATGGTTAAGAGAAATTCAAAAACAAAAGAAAATCAAGATTTGAGATCTTATATTGTTATAATGGTTTTGCTTGTCCTTGAATTTTATTTTATGATATTGGATACCTATATATTTATTATGGGATTGCTTATTTTCTTTTCTTTAATTGTGAACTAATTTAGCCATCTAAGGCTACTATCTATCCTAGTCAATTCCATATAGAATTTTATAATTTTTATACTTTTAAGGTTTATTATTTTATATAGAATATATATTTTTATTCTTAATGCTTTTTAATGATTGACTCTCATTAAATTTGATTTGAAGAGTATAATTGAGACCAAAAGGAGATTTTATGCAATAATTTCTAGTAATATATACCATGAATTGAGCAAAAGTTAGAGATGGACCAACATAATTCATGGAGCATTAATGATAAGTATACTTAATTTTCTATGTAAACTAAAGAATTTTACAAATTATAATATATTTTTATCTATTTAAATTTACAAAAAGATATAATGGATTAATATAAGAAAATATGTTTAGTATAACTTGAGAAAGTATAAATAAAATAGGAAAATTTTTTGTTACATGAATAATAATTACCTTAAAAGTATATTAATATAAATTATATATTAATTGATTATGGTGAAATCAATGTTTTAGAATTTTAACTCTTTGTGTTACTCAAAGTCAATTTAGATTTTTTTTAATTATTTTAAAAGCAAATTTAATTGAAATTATTTAATAAATTATTATTTAATTCAAAATTTTATTTTTATTCAATTATGATACTTAATTCTTAGTGACTAATTTTGTAAGAGACTATTTTATAGTTGTTATTTTAATAACAAAATCATTGAATACTAGTGTTTATTGAATTTTCAAAAATGCTCCTTTTTTTTTTTTGGATATGTTTTTTTAAGACCAAAAACTCTGTCACACATTTAATTTATGACCTTTTTGTTTTGTCATTGATAATAATAGTTGTAACAAGTTTTTGGATCACAAATAATCCTAATTGTGACCAACATGGTAGTGTTTGTTTCATTTTTTTTTAGTGATAGATAATTCTAGTTGTGATTATAAAGAAACATCACAAATTATTTAATATTAGTAACCAAATTTTATGTCACAAACAATTTCTTTTGTGACGAGTTATACATGTGCTTATATATGACTTCCTACATGTACCAACGAGGAGTCACATTTTTGTTTTCTTTATCTGCTAAATAAAATTTTGTTGATAAAATAGAGGGCTGGTGACATTTAATTTCTACCATATTATTAATATAAAATTTTGGTCCTAACCTCCATGTCACAACTCTTCTTTTGAAGAAAATACGATTGTCGACGAAAATAGAGGTGGGCGACCAAAAAATGAAATGAGGTGAGTCTGTGGACTGTTGTTGGTTTGATGATTGAAGAAGACTAAACATCCTCTTCTTCTTAAGAGATACCACCACATATGAATTCTACTCTAGGAAAAGGAAAATGATTTAAGAGTTACCCTTTTTTATATTTTTATATTTTATATATTATTTAAATAATTAAGTTATTTATTTATTTAAATCTTATAACATATAATACATTAATTTATTTAATAATATATAAATTTTATATAAAAAATAATATAAAAAAACTACTCATATAACATTTTTTTTTTTAAATTAAAACGATACACACTACGAATTAATATTACTTACGTAGCTTGTTGTGATTGACTCAATCTAAATCCTTCGGTGGAACCCTGACACCTTAGTCCGTGGGCCACACCCGACGGTCCACCCACACGTCGTCCAAACGAGAACTCAAAGTAACCCAAATTATCGCCATAAATTAGACACCGGTACAATAAAACGGACTCTCTTTTGATTGCGAGGCCACAACTCTGCGTGTTTCCGTAATTTATTTTTCAATTTCTCCTTCAAAGTCTCCAAATCAACGTTTCCTACCACCGTCACTTTTTGCTCCTTAAAAACAATATTCACAGTATGAACGCCTGAAAATAACAAAGAAAATTAATCAAAATTATGAAATGAAAGAAAACCCAGATCAGAAATTTTGAAATTGGTGGAAAATGAAACTTACGAAGAAAAAATTGGAAAAGATGGAAACTTTGAAATAGAAAAGAAATTTTCCAAGAAAAAAAGGGAAAAAAACTGAAGGGTTTTAGTGGGTAACCTTTTATTTTTTTTAAGGCCTTTTCGACATCGTTCGGACAGCCTATTTCACAGTGAAGGGGGACTTTCAAAACCCATTTCTGTAGAAAACAGAGTTCCAGAGACATGTGAGATATGAGAAGATTTTAGTCCCAACTAAAACAAGAAGTAGAAGAGAATATTTACCTTGTCCTTGAGAGGCTCTGGTTTGGATTCTGCAGGTCTAGGTTCTCGTTTCCCCTTTGGTGATGGTCCTGTTGCCATTTAGACGGAAGAATAAGGGAAAGTTAAAAGACTCGTGGGGAGAGGATCAGAGGAAGGAAAAAGAAGGAATGGGAGGGAGAGATAGTGTCTAGTAATGGGTAGGGAGGTGCTTAAGAAGAAGATTACCGCCCGTGGTAATGTTACGATTTTTGCTGCTGCTTTTCGGTCTGCTCTTCCCTTTTCCTTGCTTTTCCTCTTTTTGATCGGCTTCTTCAGGCCAGAACACTGCATCTTTCCTTGTCTTCCTTTTCAATTCCTCGATCAAAGTCTTTGAAACAACGTTCCCTTTTACCGTAACCTTGTTCTTGTCAAAATCAATATGCACAGTATTAACACCTGAAAATAACAAAGAAAGTTCATCAAAATCATGAAATGAAAGAAGACCCAGATCAGAAATTTTGAAATTGGTGGAAAATGAAACTTATGAAAGATACCCAGATGAAAATTTTCGAAAAGATGGAAACTTTAAAATAGAAAAGAAATTTTCCCCAAAAAAAGGGAAAAAAATGAAGGGTTTTAGTGGGCAACCTTCTATTTTTGTTAAGGTCTCTTCGACGTCCCTCTTGCAGCGTTCACACGGACACAGATTGGAGAATTTCAAAACCGTCTGTAGAAAACAGAGTTCCAAAGACATGTGAGATATGAGATAAGATTTTAGTCCCAACGAAAACAAGAAGAGGTAGAAGAGAAGATATACCTCATGCTCGAGAGCCTCTGGTTTGGATCCTGCATGTTTAGGTGCTGGTTTTCCGTTTGGTGATGGTCCCCTTGCCATTTAGCCGGAAGAATAAGGGAAAGTTAAGACTTGTGGGGAGAGGATCAGAAGACGGAAAAAGAAAAGAAGGAATGGGAGGGAGAGAGAGCCTCTGGTAATGGGGAGG